TCACAGTATCAACCTGTATCCAATGGAATCGTCTTCCATCAAAGACGGGCCCATTCTTCACGCTCTGACAATAATGGAGCCATTCGCAACATGCATAATTCATGGTCCAAAACGTTTAGAGAACCGTACTTATCCTCTTGATATTTCTTCCTTAAGCGCAAAAAGCGGCGCTAGTGCTTCTAGAAAAGGTGTATGGATTGCGATTCATGTTTCATCTTCTAAAAGAAATCTTAGTAAAAATGATCCAACTTGTTCAATTATTAGACTTCAATGTTGGGAACAATTACCAAGTCTTGATGAATTGAAGCAAAAAAATCATTTTGGTAAAATTATTGGTATTGCTAGGTCTGTGGTTTTTTTTTTATGGTGGTATTGTGCGAGATAAGTGATTCAGATTTTTAACAAGCTGAGATTCGCTGTCATAACCTACCACATGTCTGATTTGTATAGGTTTATTGATTGTCTTAAAGCTGAAGACGTACCTGATGACGTTGTTTGGAAAGGTGACTATAGTAGTGGTGGGGGTGGAAAAAGTCAAAGGTATTGTTGGATTATTGATGAAGTTAGAGCTTTGGAAAGATTAATCGAGTGTAAAGGAAATACTGGTGTTTGGAAAGTCGATGATCAAATTGCGAAACAAATATATAAAGAAATCGCGTTTGATTAGAATTGTATAATTGAAAGATTAGATGTGTTGGCTAAAAATATGCAATTTGTCAATTAAATAATTGTTATAAATATACATTATTATAATTGCCGTCCAAGCTGTCTGGGACAGCCTAAACCATGTGATAATTAGCAATAACATAGTTTTATCGTACAGTACGTACGTACGTACGTATGTACTGGTCTTATGTGGCAACTCGTGCTTTTTTCGTAAGCTTATTCGCACGGGTATATATTATATATTTTCCCCAGTATCGCCACCAAAATTATATGAGCACGTGATTGGTTTGTAGTGTATCAAAAAAATTTTAAGTATATGTAAAATATATTTTGAAAGATATATATTATTAAGAAACTTTTTTTTAAAATTATTAAATATTTTTTAAATAATTAAAATATAAAGTTTGTATAATAAAAATTTTTATTATTAAAATTTTATAATGTAGATATGCTTTACTGTATTTAATTTGATACTTTTGCAAACTGTTTATCAAAATATATATATATATTTTTAACTTGGCAGAAAAACCAGTGATTTAATGGGTGTGGTGACTTAGTGTAGTTAGTAAGTTGTTGCATCCCAAGTGGCAAGACAAGAGTTTGAATTTCACTGGTGATAAAATTCAAATTTACAGAATGCATTTGGAAAACTGTATCTTATTGGGTCTGCATCTATAATATTGTTATATTAGTTTGTACTAAAAGGTTGTAGAATATTAGTATAACATATAAGTTACACAAAACTTGGTTAAACAGTCATGTAAAACTAACAGATTAAAGGATATAGAAGTTCACTTGGCAAGATCCAAATAGAGAGGTAATACAGATCTTTGACAGTACTATATAAAGGATTATTATTTGAGAAACTAGCAAAGTAAACAGAACCAGAGTGTTTGATAAAATATTCTACTAACTAGGTTACTAAAGGAGTAACTAAAGAAAAAGAACTTAACTGTGGAGATTAGTAGCAGGTTACAGCCTTTTTAGACCATCTGAATTGAAAATTTAAAATAGTTGGGGTATTGTTGATAGTTTTGTAATGTATATATTGAGGTTTGTATGAACTTTACAAAGTAGAAATTAATAATGATAGCAGAAGTAAAAGGTTATAAGTACTTGTTCTCAAACTTAGTGTAAGTTATCGAAGTCTAGATTAACTAGATTATAAATATAAAAAGTATTAACAATAATGTTTTAAGAATAAATTAATTCTAAAGAAATACTGTAGATTAGAATTTGGAATTTCTTAATTAACAAATATAATATAGATATAATAGTATACAAAGTTGCATTACAAAGAGTTTAATTGATGATTCTCCAGTCAACTGAAGAATGATCATAGTGAAACGTGATGCAGTTCTATATACAGTCAGACCTCCCTAAGTGCACCCCCTCGGGACCATAGGAAAAAAAATGAAAAGAGTGCACTTAAAGAGGGTGTGCATTT